CCTCCTTTCTCCTTCAGTGAAGAGAGAGCCACTGAGCCCTTGGAAGACCCACCCCTTTTTCTTAAGACCAAGTCGAGAGGGAAAACTGAGCGATGGCAGCATTTCCACAACGGCCGGCACCTGCCTCTCCGATGGTCGCTCCCGGGAGCCCTGCTCTGGGATTCTCTCCGTCCCCGGCTGTCCGGGTCTGAGAAAGCTCCCTCCCAGCGTCTTCCCTTTGTCCCTGACGGTTCGGGGCCTGCACACAGGGCCCGGGACAGTCAGGAACGCAAGGGTCTGAGAATGGCAAAATGCCTGCTGGTTCTGTGTAGGGACATGGACAGCCCTGCCTGCGGGCGGAAGGAGGGTGCTGGTGCTTTCGTCTCATCCCTGGGCCCTGGGCGAAGTGGAGCCTTGGGTGCGCTCCCTACCTGCGCTAACGGCAGGAGGGCCGGCCCCTCAGGTCCGACCGCCAAGCAGGGAAACCACCAGAGCCCGGGAAGCTGAGTGGTGTAGCCAGGGCCGGGCGGAGTGGCACCGTGGAGGCAGGATAGTGCCCCCGGCCCCCCAAAAGGCCACACCCTGACCCCCGGAACTGTGTGACCTCACTGGGAAAGGGGCGCCGCCTCTTCCACTAGTCGAGGGTTCTGAGACGCGGAGAGTCTCCCGGATTCCCCGGGTGGCCCTGGTCCTCATAAGAGGCAGGAGAGGAGGGGATCTGACAAGGGGGTGGAGGTGAGAAGGATGCCGGGAAGTGGCCGTGGGCAAGGAGCATGGGCTGCGTCTGGAAGCTGGAGAGGCGAGGGCCCGGTTTCTTCCCGAGAGCCTGCAAAAGGAACGCGGCCCGGACAATAACTTGACTGTGGGACTTTGTATTTCCAGAGCTGCGAGATAATACGTTTGTGTTGTGTTAAGCCTCTGAGTTTGTGTGAATTTGTAACAGCAAGAAGCTCATGTGAGTGTTGTTGTTAAACTGCATGCTGACTCACTGTTAGCGTAGGAGAAAGTCCTGGGTGCTCCTTCCCACCAGTTTGCAGGATTAGAATAAACCACTTCCAAAGAGGAGTAAAGACTACAATCTTGTTCCCCAGCCAGTCCCTCTGAAGAAGATGAAGGTGGTGTGATGTGACCCTTATTTTTGCCATTCCTTTGCTAACCTTTGAGATGGATACGTAGTGCATTACTTTTCAGTCCTTCTAAATCAATCAGTCAATCAATTGAGCTAAGACTATGAATGTACCTCTAGGTACAGCTTTGGCTTACTGTGACTTTTACCACTTTTCTTCCTCAACAGATCATTCTCCTAGATGAGGCCACTGCCTCCATGGACTCCAAGACTGACAGCCTTGTGCAGAACACCATCAAAGACGCCTTCAAAGACTGCACGGTGCTGACCATTGCCCACCGCCTCAACACGGTCCTCAACTGCGACCTCGTCCTGGTCATGGAAAACGGGAAGGTACAGCGGCCGGCCGTTGGCGTCCCCTGGCTTCAGTGGTTTGGGTTCTTGGGGCGGGGGGGACGGGGATATTCTCTGACAACCGCAGCTCTCCTTCCCTGACTTCCAGGTGGTCGAGTTTGACAAGCCCGAAGTCCTTGCTGAGAAGCCAGATTCTGCATTCGCAATGCTCCTCGCAGCGGAGAACAAAGTCCGAGCATAAAGGGCCCAGTGGGCTGAGAGGAGGAGGAGGACCTGGATGGGCCTGCGGGAGGAGGGCCCTCATCCCCGCAGGCAGCCTTGGCCACGGCCCGCCCACCCCGACCCAGGCTGAGCTGAGCAGAGGTCCACGCCTCCTCACCTCACTGGGCAGCCTGGGCTGGTTGGGTGGTGAACAGAGGTAGACGAAGCTAGAGGGTTAACAACTGCCCCTCACACCCTGAAACCCCAAGGGCCCCTCACTGTCCTCATCAACACCACCTCCGTGCCTGAAAAATAGCCACTGTCAGTTAAAAACTGGTCAAAGTAAACAGAACGGGCACATTCCTGGGAGGGAGTGTGCAAAGGTTCCTGCCTGTTGTCAGGAGGGGAAAGAGCCCGGTTTCCTCCCGTCTGACTTCTATCCACACGTACCTGAGTGTGAGATGCGCAGTAACCACGCGGGTCTGCAGCACGAAAGACGGATTACAGTGTTTAGCAAAAAACCTTTGAAAAAATCATACTGCATGTGCCATTTGATCCATGACAATAACCAGAACAAGATGCTGGAGTTCCTCTATAAATGACATTTTTATATCTTCTCTGTCGGTCATTAAAATGCGGTAGGAAATGAACCCACCCCGAAATGCCGCCTTGCAATTATTTCCCTGCCGGTTCCGGCGTCTGCAGCCCCGCCTCTCACAGACCCTTGCTGCTTTTGCCACGGGCTCCGCAGGAACCCCCCTGCTTTCCCACACCTCATGGTTCGCTGTGACGGAGGCAGCGCAGACATGTTCCCAGGAGCCCAGGAGTCGGAGCTGCTAATTCACGGTGACGTTGGGATAGAAACAAGCCCGAAGTCCTTGCTGAGAAGCCAGATTCTGCATTCGCAATGCTCCTCGCAGCGGAGAACAAAGTCCGAGCATAAAGGGCCCAGTGGGCTGAGAGGAGGAGGAGGACTTGGATGGGCCCGCGGGAGGAGGGCCCTCATCCCCGCAGGCAGCCCTGGACACGGCCCGCCCACCCCGACCCAGGCCTGGATGGGCCTGCGGGAGGAGGGCCCTCATCCCCGCAGGCAGCCTTGGCCACGGCCCGCCCACCCCGACCCAGGCTGAGCTGAGCAGAGGTCCACGCCTCCTCACCTCACTGGGCAGCCTGGGCTGGTTGGGTGGTGAACAGAGGTAGACGAAGCTAGAGGGTTAACAACTGCCCCTCACACCCTGAAACCCCAAGGGCCCCTCACTGTCCTCATCAACACCACCTCCGTGCCTGAAAAATAGCCACTGTCAGTTAAAAACTGGTCAAAGTAAACAGAACGGGCAAATTCCTGGGAGGGAGTGTGCAAAGGTTCCTGCCTGTTTTAGGAGGGGAAAGAGCCCGGTTTCCTCCCGTCTGACTTCTATCCACACGTACCTGAGTGTGAGGTGTGCAGTAACCACTCGGGTCTGCAGCACGAAAGACGGATTACAGTGTTTAGCAAAAAACCTTTGAAAAAATCATACTGCATGTGCCATTTGATCCATGACAATAACCAGAACAAGATGCTGGAGTTCCTCTATAAATGACATTTTTATATCTTCTCTGTCGGTCATTAAAATGCGGTAGGAAATGAACCCACCCCGAAATGCCGCCTTGCAATTATTTCCCTGCCGGTTCCGGCGTCTGCAGCCCCGCCTCTCACAGACCCTTGCTGCTTTTGCCACGGGCTCCGCAGGAACCCCCCTGCTTTCCCACACCTCATGGTTCGCTGTGACGGAGGCAGCGCAGACATGTTCCCAGGAGCCCAGGAGTCGGAGCTGCTAATTCACGGTGACGTTGGGATAGAAACAAACAGAGATCGGACGGGCTCTGTGCCGTGCTTGCCAAGGGCCGCCACAGGCTGACTGTCTCTCACTCCTTAGGATCAAAGGCCCGGGAGCCCTGGTTCCCGGGGAGCAAGGGTTCCCCGAAGGTGCACGGCACTGAGGAATACCCCCCCCCCGCCCCCCCAACCCCGCTCCCTGCAGCCTGCGGTCGGGAGGCCTCAGAAAGAACTCGCCCTCAAGTTAACAGATCTGAAAGCGGCCCAGGATTGTTGGTTAAAATGTAAAATGCTCTTTGCTAAGAGCTGGAATCACACTGGCCAGAAGAGCAGGATTTAAAACGAACTGAAAAGGACGGGAGGTCGCTGGGGTCAGACGCACTGATCCAAGAAATCCCTTCTCTTCCGGCCCCGGTGAGGGCCACCTCTGGGCGAGGCTAAATCTGGCACTAACACCGCACACAAAGGCCTGACCCCATGACCTGCACGTTCCTGCTCCTGCTGAGAAACCGCCCCTCTGGTGGGACCGGCATCAAAGGGTCAGACCGAGGTGGTTTCTGTGGTTTCAGGCTGGCCTTCCCCTCAGCGCCAGGCGCCTCTGGGCCCCCGGCCGCCTCCACCCGGGAAGCCACACCCGGGAAACCTCCGTGTCTCACGTGTCCTTCACAATCTTTTCATTATGTTAACACACAGCCCCCCACGGCCACCCTCTTTGCGCTGCAGTCAGGCGGGGAACGCACTGACCCCCACCGTCTCCAGATCTTTCTCATCTCATCTGTGGGGGAATGATGAGCCCCCCCTCCCCCGGAGAGGGGGACCGAGATTCTACGTCCTGTCTCCTGGAAGTTGACGCCCCAGGCACCTGCCTTTTCGTGACGGGGCCGCTCCCCTTAGCACTGTGTCCTCGAGGTTTGTCAGCATGTCCCCCGCTGTGAGGCCCCCAGACGTGGGAGCGGGGCCTCGCTGTGCCGTGACCGTGTGCCTCACGCTGAGTGACGGGGCACCTTGTCCTGTGCTCCGGGCCTCGCCTTTCTCTTAAGGAGACTGCGCATGGCACCGCGGAAGGCTCTTCACAGCAAAGACGCTGTTCTGCCGCCTCGCCACCTTCCTTCTCTACTATGGCGGCGTTTTAAAAAATATGTTTTTATTGATTTCAGAGAGGAAGGGAGAGGGGAGAGAGAGAAACATCAACGAGGGGGGGAAATCACGGATCGGCTGCCTTCTGCACGTCCCACACTGGGGATCGAGCCCAAAACCCAGTAGCCCTGACTGGGAATCGAACCCTGACTTCCTGGTTCATAGGTCAACGCTCAAGCACTGAGCCAGGCTGCTGGGCCCAGAATGGAACCAGGACTTGAGCTGAACGAAGGGGAAGAGGGGTTTTTCCTTCCTGGACGGGAGGAATCTGTGGGCAGGCTCAGTCGGCAGGCCCTTGCCTGCTGCGGAACTTCACAGGGACAGAGAGAACATTCCACGGCTCCCAGGCCCAGGCCCAAGTTCTCAGGTGCCTCTCTGCCGCTGGGACGTCCAGCCCCGTGCTCACGGCTGACCCCCGCCCCCCGCCCCGGCCTGTGCTGCATCCTCACCCCCGTGATGAGCGCCTGCTCAGATGGGGGGGGGCACCTTAGATTCCCTACGAAACGACCTGTTTAGCCCGGCAGGCATCGCGCCGCTTCAATGCCTCCTGCTCTGCAATCGATCCTGCTCAAGCCACGTCCTTGGAAAAAACTCCCCAGCCATTTTCCATTCATCTCAGCGCTGAGTTTCCTGACATAATTGCGGGCCTGGGTGCCTCTGCCTCTGCCTCTGGTCTCACAGCTGGAGGAGGTTGGCACCTCCCCCCCCCCACCCCGCTGCGATGCATATCACTGTCTCTGGGAGGTGTGATCCCTGGGAATCAGCTTATCCACACGCTGCACCTGCAGTGGGAGAAGAGTGGCTCCAAGCAGGTCCTGTGACGCAGATGATCCGGTCACCTACTTCCTGGCAGACGGAGGCCTGCCCAGGAATTAGAACTGTGATTCCCAAAGAGTGTTCTCGGGAACCCTCGTCCCTCAAGATGAACGGGGAGGCAAGTCAAATTCATGGGGAAAGGCCTCAGACTACTGCCCTTGCTTGGAGACTTGCAGTGCACGTAGGCCCTGAGACTCCTAGGGGTGGGGAATGAGAGGGGAAGTGAGGCAGGAAGCCGTGGGGGTGAGCTGTGGGGCGCCCCTGGGAACTGGAGCTGAAGCCCCGCCCATGTCACAAGCCTCCAGATGGGCGGGGGCAGGGGCCTGGGGCTCCTCACTCAGAGCTGAGCTTCTCCCTTTGTTCAAAGAGCAGAAGCCCTGGTTAGCCCCTTGGGAGCCTATAGATTTGGTTTAAATCCATCTCCCAGAGACGCATAAAGAAAAGGAAAACCCCAGGTTAGAAATGAAGAGAACGGAGGCACTTGCCAGAAAAGTAAAAACAAAAGCAAAAACCCCAACAAGCTGAACCCACGCATTCCCACCCCTGCCCTCTGGAGACCCTGAGCCGGGTGCAGGTGCTCCCGGGACCTGGTGCCCCCGGCAGGTCCGGGTCGAGAACGCCCTTCCCTTCCGCACGTAGTTCACCAGGTCGAAGCTCTGGGCTGGCTCCAGGCAAGAGGACAGGAGGCTGTGCCTGTCGGCCTCCTGCTTCCCTCACATCCCCTTCCTGCGTGTTCCATCCCACTCAGCGCCACAGGAAACTATATTTCCCAGACTCCCTTGCTCCCTGGGAGGGATGAGAAGAGCCAGTGTTTCTCCCTCTGCCTCTGACAGGGGCTGCGGCTCCTCCAGGGCGTCACCTTGTTCCAGGTACTTCCCAGCAGTGGCCGTGGTCCCGCTCCACCCAGAGGCCTGGCTTCCCCGACCCTATAGAGGCCCCCCCAACTCCAAGAAGATAGTGACCTCCCCCCTCTGCTCCCTCCGTCCTCTGCGTGGCGTCCCAGCTCCTGCACTGTCCGCGCTCCCCTGCCCGTGTTACATGCTCCTGCCTGGAAGACCTGGCGCTTCCTGCTGTTCCGACGGGTCCTGGTGGGAGCAGTGCTCTGCCCTGCGGCTTGGGGACCCCTGGCCTATGCGACGAGAGCGACCTGCCCAGGCCGGGCTGCAAGGAGCAAGGATCTGGCTCAAACTCACGATCACAAAAGCCACAGAGGCCCTCGATGCCACAGTTCCCAGGATTCCCCCTGCCCTGAGCCAGAACATTCTAGGGTCGTCACTATTACTATTATTATGGAAACGGAGCCTAGAGAGGGGGATGTGTCCAACGGCTGCTGGGGGCCCGCACACAGGTCACGACTCCAGGGGCTGTGCTCCGACCACGTCCCTCCCACCCTCGGCCCTGTCCTGGTCTCCTCAGCACCCCCTGCCGGCCTCGGCTGTGAGTGGAAGCTGGACTAGATCCCGACACTCGGCCCACACGTCAGCACGGCCCTCGGCCCTGTCCTGGTCTCCTCAGCCCCCCTGCCGGCCTCGGCTGTGAGTGGAAGCTGGACTAAGGTGTCAGTGCCTTCTAACCAGGGTCACTCCTTAGTCAAGGCTGCGTAAATGGCAGAAACGCCTGGGGCCTGGAGCTTGGCTGTGACCGTGGGCAGCGTCCGTGGGCCGCGTCACGGAGACAGATGCTTCCCCAGCCCAGAGGGACAAGCCACCGGCACTCTCACATCCACACGAGGCTCCGAGGGCCTCGGCAAGGTGCTGGGGAGGCTGGGGGCTCCGCTCGGAACCAGCCACGCTCATCACTCCAGAGGGATGGGGCTCGGACGCCAGCCTCATTAGCAAACGTCTCAACAACTGCTGTCAACCACCAGCGCAAAGCCCGTTTCTTCC